GCCTTCGCCAACTCCTGCTCTGAGTAAGCAAGGAGCGGCCCTGTCGCCTGTTCGGACTGGGCGGGGGAGGGTAGGGTGGGGTGGGGTGCAGTGCGGGAGGGGACATGGCTCCTGCTCAGCCCCCTTTCCCACCCCATCGCCAGCTTTTCGGCGGTGGGGAGAGAGTCCTATTTCCGTCCCTTCTGTTACCTCTATTTTGCTGGTCAGCGCATTTTTCCCCCCATTTTCCCCTCCCAGTTAGGTGCCTTGCATATGGGGGGGGATGTCAAGTCCCATCACACTGGCTGGGGATTCTGGGAGTCGCAATCCTGAATGATCTGGAGGTCACAAGGCTCAGGAAGTCTGCTTTAGGGAATAAACTCCTCTCTTACATTAGCAGACACCCTCCCTCCTCCCGCCCCCTCAGGACCCTTGTTGGGCATCTTTAAAAATAATCACATATATTGGGCTAAATGTTCTCCAGTCTTTTACAGATGAACATCCTCTCCAATAATTTGGTTTTATCGTTTCCTTTGACCTAAAAATCTCCTTGGATGCATCAATTCAGTTCCTGCCCCTGCACTTGTTTTCCCCACTGAGTTCTGTGTCACTCCATCCTCCATAAGTCTGCAGTCTTAATTTCAGTGATCTTCAAGGGATTACAATTTACACTTTGAATAACCTGGGTCTTCAAGGTTGGGTGCCTTTTCTTTTAAGAAGTTGTTGAGATGACATTCCTGTTGTAAGAGAGACTGATTTAGCTGAAACTTGTTACATGAGCTGGCTGTTTTTATTCCAGGCAGGCTTCCTATATTTTCTTTACCCCAAAACAGTTGGAACTAAATTAGACATGATGTTAGGGATTTGAAGTGGACTATACTGTTGGTATTTTAAAATGTAAGGTAAGAACAGGCATGAGACACCTCAGATTAGATCCGAGTTGAGGAAGGAATTTTATTTCTTCTCTAAACACAAAACCCTGCATAACGGTTCTGAATTAAGATACCCCTGAAGCTACTGTTAGTCATAGTGTGAGAAAGAATTAATCAGTTTCAAATTCTAAATTTTTAAAGGGCTGTTGACTTTCATTTTCTGGTAATTTATAGCTTGCTTAACCCTAATGGATGGATTTAATTGCTTTAATGGTGAGAATTTTGAACAAAAGAAAAATCCAATTCTTGTACTGTTGTACTGTTAGATTTTTCTTTGAGTTTATGGGTTAGAGCAAGGATCTCAGACTCAAATTGTCATGAGTACTACATGATTCATTAGCCCAAGGTCCACAACACTGAAGCCTTTTCATTCATTGATACAAACGTCCCCAGGGTCAACAGTGAATAGTTTCACTGTATGTCATTGCAGATAAATGGATTAAATAAATACTTTACTGAAGAACATAGCTACTTATTTGCTGTTTCATTTGGCTGCTTATTTGGCAGGATTTTGCATTAATCAGAGCATCAAAATTTAGTTTAGTTGCTATTGAACAGCAGTATAAAACTCTTGAACTTAATATTCTAAAACTTGGCAGGATTTACCCCTTCAAAAGAGGCAACTGTGTCTGAAAATTATTTCCAATTTGCCAATAAATAAAAATGATATTGGCAATTCTTTTTAAAGGAAAAATCATGCCTTCCATTTGCTACATGTCACCCTCTCATAATATATTTCCTGAAAAATTAGTTCAAGTTCAGATTACCTTTAATGGAAAGCAGGCTAAAAGTTGACAGGTAAATAAATACACTCTGTAGGGCTGACACAGGCAGAAAGTGGCTAGCCTGGGGCAGAAACAGGACTAGGCTCTTTGGGATGTGCAGAATTGGGGTGAAGTTGATGCCAGGAAGGAGATAGCCCAGTACTGCACCAGGAACCCCCATCTAGGCGCAGCTCTTAGGTGGTGGGTGAGGAAGAGCCCTGGAGAGAGGGCTCTGAGAAGAATGCAGCAGCTTATTCACCTGGATGTACTTCTACATCCAAGAGGCAGAGTGGGGCTGGCAGGGGCTGTACAAGGAGTGCAACCTTCATCTTACTGCTTGGACTAGATGGTATTTTGCCCTCCCTTGCATGGAGAAACACATTCCCCTCCGGTCAAATTTGCCAGAGTTTGCTGATAGACATCACCACCACTGCTTCTTCCATCCTGTACTCTTTTTTCCCAAAGCAGCCTTGCTTTTGTACCCCAGCTAATGACCGCAGAGTGTAAGGGAGCTCTGAATGACTTTGGCTTTGTCTGCCTCATCCTGCTGTCCCTCTCTCTCCATGTGGTAGAGGGAAGCTGCTGGGGAGGGAGCAGGCAGCAGGCAGGTTGGATCTCTGCTTTTCCTGATCACATCACAGATACAGTTCATTTTTATGTTATGCTGCAGTTCTTGTGTCACAGTGTGTTTCTGCAGAAGTTGCCATTTAAAATAAATATATCTCAAATATTATTTAAAACATCTGAGCAAAAATGTTTTATATGCAATGCAAATATAAGTTAGCCTACATGGAAATTATCCTGAAATGGTTGCAGTTCTTAAGACTATTCTTAACTGTAGCTAAAGAATCACTGGAAAATGCTGCTTACAAAGATGTAATACAGATAGTCCACGGGTTAAGAACGCCCGGTTTATGTATGACAGTTAAGAATGGAGCCTATTGTAGCAAAATTCGAGTTAAATACACAATGGTTTGAGTTAATTACACAATACTACTTATACAGTATTATAGAATAATACTCTTCCAGCTTACATATACATTCGACTTAAGGACAGATCTTGGGAATGGAACTTGTTCTTAAACTGAGGACTACCTGTATATGAAAAAATAAATGCTTGTAAATAGTATTTTCATTTTATTCTAGTTAGTGTTTATGTTCAGTATTGCAGATATATATTCAATATGCTTTGAAGACTTTGCTTTGAGCTTATTGTTTATCAAGTTACAATGTTGGAATTTACAATCAAATATACTTTGCTGCTAAATAACAGTGTTCTGCTTAGGTACCTGAAACTTGTCTTAACAAGATGCTTTCTAAAGCCTAGCATCCTGTAATTAATAAAAAGATTAGTTTTTTAAAGTATTTATACATACTTAATTCACTTTAAAATCTTGACCTTTCTTGGATGCAAAAAACCTTTGCTTCTGTATCTGTACAGTTCTTTTATAAAAATTACAACCTTCAGATTTAAACCTCACCATGCAATTTTTAAATTCTTTTTCAGAATGTTCAGATTTTACTAAAAAGAGTTGTGAAGAATGTATAAAAAATACTACAGTAAGTATTCTCATTTTTATCTAATCAGGGGGGAATTTAGACTCTTTTTACTGTATTTCATGAGCAGGGCCAGAAATTTAAAAAATTGCAAACATTTGTTGCTTGATGTCAGTAAATAATAGGTCACTAGCAGCTATAAGACAACCCATTTAGACCTCAGCAACTTGAAGATTCCAGCCTATAGTGGTGGGCTTATCTGAATGGAAGAGTAGGAATGCAGAGAATGTAAAGAAGTATCTGCCATAAATGGACACTCTGAGGGCTAGAGATAAGAAGAAATCCAAATTTTCAAAGCGTGCTGCAAGAGCAGAAAAAGTTTGAGATCTGACTGGCTGTAAATTCTGAATTTCTGCTTCTGCTTCACTCAGCAATTTACTTCTCTGTTATGGTTACCATTCCCTGGAATACAATAAAGATACAGTTTTGAGTATGTTTCTTTTTATCTCTCTGGTAGCCTGACAGCTTCTTGCTTTCAAATTGTAAGGAAAATGTCATAAATGTTTGGAGAGAGAAAGCTATTTAATTGATAGGAATAAGCCATGGCTAGGTAATTAGTGACTGAACTTTCAAGTTTATTCTTCCTGTGTAGGCTTCTAATCCCTCTTTTGAAATTGTGTTAAGATCACAATTTCAGTTACACCCAGTTGGCTGTAGAAGCTGTGATTTGTTACCAAACCATAGTGTATTTAGTTTAGATATAAGGGCAAACTGTGGCTTGTGAGAAGTCTGAAAGGAGGGAAGAAATCAAACGGCACCTGAGGGGACTGGGGTAAATATGTGAGTTTGGAAATGATTTAGTAATCATGGCTGCTATAACATGAAAGAAAAAAGTTAAAGTCTCTCTGAATACTACAGAACTAATGTGTTTAATGTGCCATGTATTTAAAACTGATGAAAAAATGTGACTATTAAAGGTATCTTTTTTAATGAAAAATGAATCTCTTAGCATGGATAATATATCAAATGATGGTTATTTCATGTCCAGATGAACTCTGATAGTGGCTTAAAATCAACTTTGATTTTCTTTTCCCTTTCCTGAATTTGGATTGTGTACTGTTCATGCACAAAGACTTGTTTAGTTGCGATCAAATATACGGCATTTTTTAAAATGCTTGATCTCAGAGGAATAGTAATCTTTTACATTGAATGATTGCAATTTATAACAGTGACCTCATTATGTAAAAACAGCATCTATCCCAATATTTTTTCTTGTTGCACGGTAGCCATTTAATTAAGGGTTCTTCTGTACCTTTCCTCTAATCCTTCAGAACTTTAGATTCAGCAAGAAGAGAGAACTGAGTGGAAAGAACAGAAATGAGGCAAGAATGCAGTAGCACCAGGTTATATAGAGGAGAGGAACAGTGACAGAGTAGGCCAGAACATCATTGATAAAAGAGGGTAGGAAGCTCCTATCAGCAGAATATAACCAGGGAAACAAGAGTCACATCTTGTTTCATTAATCTGGTTCAGTGTTGAGGAATAAGGAGTTAGGATACAAAATTGTGGAAACTGAATAAACAAAACTCCCATCCTCATTTATGCGTGGATTCGTTAAGGCAGGGTCTCTGTGAGTTGTTTGACCCTCTTTTTTCCAGAAAGCAGAACAGAAGAGCTAACTGCCCTCTTCCCAGAGAAGCCTGGCATTGCAACAGCCATCTGTTCTTTGTTGGTAATGTTTTGAAATACTCCCTTTTCTTGTTCAGCCCAAGTGAATTCTTTTACAGATAGAAATCCATAGAAGAGTATAGAGAAGAAAAAAGACTGGATAATACTTTCTGATACCCCCAGCCCCAATTTTATGATAAAAATGGTAGCTGTGCAGCCTGGATTTTTTCACAAGAAATGCCTTCTGAGCCATATTGAAATCGTTAAAACAGCATACATGTTTTAGAATCAGTTAAGCCCTGAATGCCAGAGCTGATGAATTGTATTGATGATTGGATGATGGATGCAGCAGGGAAAGCACTGCAACGTTGCCAGCATTGTCCTTATGAAAGATACATCTTGATTTCATCATAGCAGTGTTCATAAATATAATTGCTAAAAGGAAAGACTTCATAAGTAAAGCCAGTATAAAGATTCTGAATTCCTGGAAAATTAAACTGCTTTTTATTTTTTTGCCCAGATTAATATAAAATACATTTTCAGCAATGAAGATGAAGAATGGGAAATAGTATGAAGAGTCCATCTAAATGGCCTTGGGAATTGTCATTTTTTTTTTAAACCTCCTCTGGTTAATTTAAGGAAGTTGACATGAAGCAAATCAAATAAGCTAAATGTGCTAGCTGTTATAATTTTCTAGCCATTAAAAATGGGATCTTGGTAAATCAAGATGAAATATGGCATAATTTCATTCAATAGGTGCATGGTGTTAATGGGACAAAACATTTCCTGTCATAACTGATACATTGATGTAGTGGTTAAGGTGCTGGACTTGTTACCTGGAGACTCTGAATTCTAGTCCTCGCTTAGACATGAACACTAGTTGGGTGACTTTGGGCCAGCCACTCTCTCAGCCCAGTCTACCTCATGGATGTTGTGGGGAAAATGGGAGGCCAGAGTATTATGTACACTGCCTTGAGTAGTCCAATAAAGGTGAGATGTAAAAATAAATAAATACGGAAGAAAAGATTGAGGTTTAAGAATTTATAAAGATCAAATTGCCATTGTGCTGGCTGTTACTGTTTCTGATAGGTGTGGAATGTATTGCAGAAGTGCTGATCAAGTGCTAACCCTGATAAAACTGATGATTTAATAATAAGCGTGGTTCATGCTTCTTGATAAACTTGTTTTTATTTCTCACTTTTTTTCCCCACAGTGTCTTTGGTGCAGTGAAAATTCCACTTGTATGGATTATCCTGTAAGCAAACTCATGCCACCATCATCATTGTGTTTACTTACAAAGTCTTACTGGGCAATATGTTGGGGTATGTAGTATTGTAAATATGTTAAATATGCACAAGCCAGAACATAATTATTATGTCTTTATGAATGAATATTCAGTTCAGTGTCTCCTGTGAGATGGTATTGCTATTTATTTATTTGTTTGTTTGGAAAAAAGATTATGGCTGTCTGTATTTTGTAAAACACTGTAGGGAGTTAACAAACACACAAAAAACAAAAACAAAAGAATAAAACTAACACGCCATAATGGTACCTTCTAAAAAACCACAAAAAATTCCGGGCTCATCTCCCATCTGGATCCATCACCTGAGGGAAGAGCCAGGTCTTAACGGCCTTCCACGAGGCAAGAAGGATAAGGGCCCTCCATATCTTGGGGGGAGGCTATTCCATAGCATAGGCAGATATGGAAAAGGCTCGCTTCCTAGGACCCTCCAGATGACAACATTTAATAGAGGGGACTTGGAGCAAGCCCACCCTAACCCATCTAGTGGGATGGGTAGATGTTCTCAGGAAAAAGACAGTCACTCAGATAATCTGGCCCCATGCTATATAGGGCTTTACAGGTAATAACCAGCATCTTGAATTGCACCCAGGAGGAAACTGGGAGCCAGGGCAGTGCATACAACAGAGATGTCACATGGGCAAATCACAGGGTGCCCCAAACTGCATGCACTGCTGCATTCTGAACCAGTTGAATTCCAGGTGGCCTTCAAGGCCAGCCCTGTGTAGAGCACATTATTATACAGGTAGTCCTTGACTTATGACCACAATTGGGACTGGAATTTCCATCACTAAGCGACGTTATAAAGTGAGACATCATGTGACTGCATTGCTTAGCAAAGGCAATCCTGGCAGTCCCAGTTGCTGTCGTTAACTGAGAATCGTGGGTTGTTATGTGAGTACGCCCCCAATCCAAGCCATTCCAGGCTTGGTCCCTCCCAGCCCCGAGCCTCAGTAAGGTAAGGGACTGCCTCCAACTCCCCCTACCTGCCTATCTCCCCCCCATCTCTGCCCTTTTGGCCATTCTGCACCCTGCGTTTTGGGGTGGCAAGCAGCCTCAGAACAGTGCAGCTCTAGGGCTGCCAGCCACACCCTGGGAAACCGCAGCTGCCCCAGCCCACTCTCAGCTGCATTCGCCCCCACCACCCTGCACTCCGAGACCGTTGCCACCCTGTGCTCTGCTGCCCCAGCTGACCTTCACTGTCTTCTTGCTCCTGCTGCTGATGAGGCATGCCTGGCTGGGTTGCTGGGCCAGGGCTGGGCTTCATGTTCCAAAAAAAAAAAAAAAAAGTGAAAAGTAGTCCCAGAGCTGTAGTGGGCCAAAAAGCCCTTTGCGCCATGCTCCTGGGCTGGGCTTCACACTGTGAGAAACAAAAGCAGCAGCCCCTGAGCTGCAGCGTGCCCAACCGCGGTATGGCTCGGGCTGCTTTTTAGTCTCTTTTTTTTGCAGCACAAAAAGGCACCAAAGAGCATTTGCCCTGAGAAGCATCTTGCAGGAATTGAATCCACACCCGAGTGTGGCTTTTTAGAGACAGGTAGTCTCCCCTTGGATGGGGAGATAAGGTGGTGGCAGTCTTTGTAGGAATGGAGCCCTGCATGGGAGGCTGTGTTTGCTCTGCTAGCAAGCCCTGGCCGCGTGCTCTATGGCTGGCTATCTGTGGATACATAAGAGAAGTCCCCTCTCTCCTCTGCTCTTACCACCACAAGGAAAGCCCTAATGAAAGCTTTCACCCATGTTCAGTTGAATTCACTCTGTCTTTCTCCAGTGGTGCTCTAGACATTTCTCGCTTCATTTCATCTCTCACAGTACTTTTGTAAGTCAAAGAACTCTACACATTGTATATGTGTTTCCACTCTCCTCTTGGATTGTGTCTCTTTGTGTATATACATGAACTTGGAAGCAGAGAGCATATGCCCTGCACTGGACCACATGACCAGGAGTGAGGCGTTCTTAGAGTGGAACAGTCGGCATTGGGGTGCATTGGGGGCTTTTTTATGTTTCTGCAACCTTTGGCCTGATCCAACCTGTTTTCAAACTCAGTCTTTCTTTTGCCAGCTTCTCCCCCATACCAAATTCGATCTAATCTGTTTTCAGAATTACCCTGCTAACGGATGGACAAATAGATGCCCAGGCCTCCCTTACATAATTTCCTTCCAACTTTCCATTGGTTTAGAAAGGATATAAAGGATGTACCAGATGTGAAAAGATAAAGAGCAATCATGTAGCCTGGGCTGTCTGGAGTATTTCCACCACAATAAACTCTATGTTTATTGTGATATCAAAGCACTGCCAGCAAGTTTTTTGGTATAAATGTGTAACATGAAGAGAGAATGTATTCAATATAGTAAAGCAGTTTTGTAATAATTGAGTGTAGAAAACATGTCATATCTTTGATGCAGTTAGCAGGAGGGGACCTTTTGAAGATGCCCCTGCAGTCAGAGTCTTACCTTTTTGGCACACAGGAAAGAACCTTCTCCTGCATTCCTACCAGCAATGGAGCATGCCCTCTCCAGAGTAATGTTTGGCTCTCACTCTCAAATTTTAGAAAATCTGTAAGGATGCATTGCTTTTGCTTGGCTTTCAATTGTTAATATGATTCTAGTGTTTGTTACTAATTTTAAATTATATGTTTACATTTTTATATTCAGTATTTGTTTATAATTTTGTTAGCCACCTTGAAGGTTCTCCATAACAGAAAGATGGGGTATAAATAAATACATGAGATGCTTTTTATGAAAGACAAATGTTGTTATATCTATAAATGACTGATTTATGAAAACAGGTAGTGCATATTAGAACTATATGGTATTTGTCTGCTGGGTTTAACCATAAGGTGACTTGTTTTCAACTTGGTGTGATATGCAGATTGTTCCACTAGGTTTTATAGACTGGATTTTTTCTTGGGATGTACCATGATAAGGTAAAGACAAACAAATCATATTATGGCATAGCATTATGTATTAACTGGGTCATTGTCTCAAGTAGAATTTCATTGATTACATAGGGTTTTTTTTTCATTTTTGTATCTTATGACATTTTCTTCCTATTAATGTGAAGTAGGTGATAAATGAACACACACCATGCTGATACATGGATTATGAGAAATTGGCAAATGCACAGTCACATTATAACAAGTGAAATGAAATGTCTAAATTTAGCAAACAGATTTTGCAGTGATAGACCTGTCTTTATACCAGACAGATACATTATATGTGCATGTAATGATAGCGTGCATGTAAGCATAATGAACATAAATCACACTTTTCCATAACAATTTCTTCTACTTGCTACATTTCCTACCTTTTCTAACTTGTTTTTACTTCTGATTTTCAGTCAGTTTGGAAGCCATCATCATCACCATAGGTGTTGTAGCAAGCATCCTTCTGCTGGTCATAATTTGCTGCTGCTGTTATTGCTGCCGTAAATGTCGCCAGCGTTCTGGAAGGTAAACACATTTTCTTAATACATTTTCTTGATTTTCTCCTGATAATAGCACTTGCAGTCTCTAGCACATTTGTCCTTAAGGATCCAATTGTAGGTAAATCTTCATACTGTGATTGTAAACCTGATTAGATTGTTTACAGACATGTTAGGGAAGTGGATTGGGACAAAAGGTAGTCCTTGAGTTACGACTGTTCATTGAGTGACTGTTCGAAGTTACAAATGCACTGAAAAAAGTGATGACTGGTGCCTGAAGTTACAGCCACTGCAGCACCCCCACAGTCACGTGATCAAAATTTGGGTGCTTGGCAGCCTGCCCACACTTAGAACTGCAAGGGCACTTCAACTCCCCTCACCTGCCTGTCTCTCCCCATTTATGCGTTCTTGGTTCCCTGCTGCCCTGTGCTCTGCCATCCCAGTTGACCTTCACCGTCTTGCTCCAAAATGCTTCTTTGTAAAAAGCTCCTGGGTGGGACTGGGCTGGGCTTTTGCTTTGCACTGCGAAAAAGAAAAGCCAAAAGCCTGCCCAGCCCTGCCAGGAACTTTTTGCAAAGGAGTGTTTTGGTGCACTGCATTCCAGGAGCTTTTTGCAAAGAGGCTTTTTGGAGCAAGAAGACAGTGAAAGTCAGCTTGGAGTGTAGGGTGGTGAGGGTGACTGCTGCTGGGACTGGGCTGGGGCAAGCTGTGGCTTCCCAGGGCATGATAAGCAACCTCAGAGCTGTGCAGTTCTGGGGCTGCTTGCCACCCTGCAAGGCAGAGTGCAGGGCGGCCAGAAGGGCAGAGATGGGGGGGAGATAGGTAGGTAGGTAGGTGGGGGAGTTAGAGGCAGTCCCTTACTTTACCAAGACATGGGGCTGGGAGGGACCAAGCCCGTAATGGCTTGGATTGAGGTGGGTACTCACTTAATGATCCGTGATTCTCAGTTAACGACGGCAACCAGGACTGCCGGGATTGTGGTTGCTAAGTGATGCAATTATGTGACATCTCGCTTTATGACTGCATCACTTAGTGACAGAAATTCTGGTCCCAATTGTGGTTGTAAGTCGAGGACTACCTATATAGCATATGCAGCAGAGGTTAATATCTTATTTAAGATTTGGGTAAAAAAACAATGTTGGATATGTGAAAACTCTAAGAATTAAACATTCTAAATTGTCATTTTGCGGCAGATTCCTGCTTTGTTGTAATCAGATGCTTGTGGTTATTCTGTAGCTGATTTGATTCTTAATTTTTAAATATATTTACACAAAATATGTACCTACCATCCAAGACAGATTATTTGCCTGTCTAGGGTTTTACTTTCTAATTTGACTAGCTGTTATTCTGCATGATCTGAGAAAGAACAGCAAGCTGCTACTTGCTACTTTTAGATGCTGGAGTCTGAACCTGGGTTGAATCTGGGACCTAGGCACCTTGCGGTCATTGGAGACCAAAAAATATAAAAGAAAAAAATGCATCTCAAAACTATAAAAATGGTTTATCTCAACCCTAACCCTGATCTATGTGCATAATATGTAGAATTAGAGTTTGTCATGGAAAATGGTTTTAGAAATCATATAAAACTCATTAAATCCAGCCAATGTTCTAGTATAATGATTTTCTAATAATGACATCTGTGTACATGCCATATAGAAAATAAATGAAAGAAAAAAATGAAAACCATCATTAGGGAAAACTCTATGAATAAGGGAATACCACCTTGAGTGAATACCACCTTGAATTCCCAGAGAAAATGCAACAAATAAATAAAATGAAATAATATTAGACCTGAGGTCCATAGCGTGATGCTGATAGATTATACTGCGCATGTAGTCTTCCTTGTCATCTGCCAAGCTTTCCCTACCTGAATAATTTTTAAAGAGTTTTTATGTAATACCCCCACCTCCCCCCCAATTAAGTGGGAAATTGGCATGCTGTAAAAGTTTTAGCTGCCAACATTTTTTATTAGCAAGGGTGTGTCTGGGTCCTTTCTGGGCCTCACAGGAATTTTAGAAAATAAAAATAATGTGTGGTTGTAGCTTTCCAACAATAAATAACTTAATAATATAAAAATGGAACTTATAGTTGCAGAAATTTCCCACACTTATCTATGACAGCAGAAGTTTTAAAGCTGTGGCTAATATTTATATTTGGCAGAGGCTGTGTATTAGATGCTGCTTGGAGCATCTTTTTCCTTGTTCCAAGTATATGCAAAATGGATCCATTCATTCATACAGTAAATATTTTATTACATGACTCTGGGTGGCATACAGGAGGATTAAAAAATCACAACAGTAACACTGTGCCTGGGTAGTAAAACTGTTCATGACACATTTTGGGAAACTTCTGGTTTAAGGACTTGAAAAAATTTATGAATATGATAAATTTCAGATATTTATGGCCCTGTAAACCAAAGCTGTGGTGTGGTTTCTCTTTCTAGGAGGGTGTTAAATTAACATTAATATTTAATGTTTTTCCTTGTTGAGAATTATGCAGGTTCATGTTAAGTGACAGTAATATTGAGAATATTTTCATAGCTACTATGCATTCATTTGTATAACTGCACTGAAAATGTAAGACATGTCTTCAGTTGTCATATATTATTTGTATAATTCATTTCAGAGGCACTTTGAACTATGCCAGAAAGCACCATTCCAAGGAACATAATAAATACCCTTCCAGTTACAGTATCCATGACTTGTCAGCTGGCTGTTAGGATTTGGCTGTCAAGGAGGCAGCATCTTCCTTTTATTAAGAAGATGCCATAGATTCTCTAGAGTAAATCTTATTTAGTGTAGAGCTGTTGCCTGTGTCAAGCCTAATTTCACTGATTATATGTATTCCTGGTCTCATGCTCTGAATTTTCTAACATTCAGTTTTGCTTTAGTGGCTCAACTTAAGAAGAGACTTAATTAAGAGTATGCATTTTCTATACGTTCAATTCTTCTAAAATATTTGCATAGCTGCAGTTCAGATATCCATTAATTAAAGACATGAATATTTATAGAGTATTTGAAAGGCAAGGGATGTTGATTAGTTCTCTTTCTCTAGCACTGTATTAAAGAAAAAATGCAAGGATTTTCATATATTTGGTTTATTCAGGCTTTCTCACTGATGAAACTAATATTCTTGAAGATTTTAAAGTAGAGAAAACCACAACTGTATAACTAGGATAAATGTTTCAGGTTTCTTTCCTCGTAACAGTGTACTTAAAAATCTCTTCTTTGATATGAATGCATAAATGCTACAATATTTTGATTTCAGAATAGTTAGCTCAAAAAAGCTTTTAATGCTAATAATATATATGACCCATTACATTTAAAATATTTTAAATACGTACTGAGGACCAGACTAAACATGTAGGGCAGATATATGATAAACCAAAACAGGAAGATAAAACCAGCCCAGCCCAGCCGCGCCCCCCACCTCCTGATACTTCATAGTTTTAAGGAATATTCTCCTTATTGACAGTCAGTTCTGGTATCTGAAAGTCTGAGACAAAATTACTTAAATGTTACAGAGCCCAGAGAGTTGGAGTGGTTGAAAGGGTAATCTACCTCTTTGTATCATACTTTGTGAGCAAGGCGCTCTGATCTCTGCTGTTATGTGTGAATGGGCAAATGCATATGTAATATATGCCAGAGTAAAAAACCTTTCAGGGAAAACTTTTACAAGGATACCAATGGATGTCCTTTTTTTATATATACCGTATTTTTCCGACTATAAGACGATACTTTTTTAAAAAATCCTTACGCTAAAAATTGAAGGGCGTCTTATGCAAGGAAGTAAGCC